CACACCCCCGCGGCTGCTTCTGCAGCCGTGTTTAGAGAGGCTATGGGGGGAAATATCTCCGGCTGCTTATTTTTAACTGCTGTGTTGGCCGCTGAAACCCCCAGAATTCGGCGATTTGTCCAATACAAATCTTTACATTGCTTTCATACAGAAGCTCCACTTTACTGATGTATTTCTTTAAGGTTACTCTGAACATAAGCTGTGCATGCTTGTTTGGTACTTTCGTCCCAAGCAGCATGCACATAGGCAATCAGCCTTTGGTTCATTAACCAAAAAACGAAACACAACCGCTCAGTTTCACAGGTAATTGTAGGATACCGTCAATCACAGATTATGGTAAGGCAATGTCCAAATGTGGATTTGAAATTACACTTACCAGTTCTGAAGATGTATTGGTATCCTGCCGACAACGCCAATTTGTAAGGGAAACTTCTGCAGCAATGGAGAGTCAGGACTCAGAAAGACACAAGGAGTGTTGGAGCTTTGATGTCAAACACTGGTAGTTTATTACAAGGATACGGCCGGAGAATTCATATCACAAGTCACAGCAGCAAAAGGTTCTGACTGCACGGGTGGGTTGTCATGTCAATTCTGATCTGCCTATCTCTCGATAGACCTTTTAACTAGTTTCCAGAGAGTCAACTCACATATTGGGGGAAGGTATACGTGAACACCTGGAGACACTGAATCACTTATCTGACTCATTGGCTCTGTGACCGAGAGTTGACCGGTCATAAAACTTGTAATGTCAACAATAGCTGAGACTTCCCATTCCTTAAGACAGATAACAGACTTAGGGTTCGTCGTAAAGGTCAACAGGCAGAAAGGTTAAATATCTGGGAGTAAAGACAAAATTATTCCCTCACAATTACGGTAAAATGTGCTGATTGATTTTGGGTTTTGGTGAAAGGGAGAGCGATAGATATGGATCAATTACAAAAGAGGCCTGAATAACAGGACCTAAAGAGTCAGGTGCCCCCAAAACAATCACAAATAAACACAACACAACAACTAAAAAAGACACAAAATGACCACAGGAGACCCAACATTACTAAAGAACCAAAGTATCTACAAGAGACAAAAAGCATTTACAAAGATGCTCAAAATGACAACAAAGAGCAACAAATGGCTTTAAAACTAACGAACACAGACCGAAATATAAAGAAATACCAAAAGAACGACAAATTGAAACAACTTCTAAGATACACAAAAAGTAGAACAAGGAGGAACAAATTGATCGAAAAGAGACACTATGACTACAAAGAGAGACACAATGACTGTGAAAAGAGACCCATAATAATCATATATCAGCCCGGATCAATTGTTCTACCGGTGATGGGAGACCAGATTAGTTTACGTGTATCGGAAAGCATATTCAGTTACAATATATAAAAGGACTGAACCAGTTAACAACTGAACGAACCAGAAACGACATGAGTCAGTAACCAGGCAAGTATCCATTGTTAGAGGTCATTACAGAAACACCTGTGCAGACATGCTGACAGCCAGCCTGTCCAACACACTGTGGCCCATTCCCAAACCGCCCCTTACACCCTACCCCTACCCCTTCGTTCGTGCGGAGGGTCCGTCATATTGAGGGCTGTTCCAAAGCAACGAGTGTGGAGGGGGAGTGGGCTATCAAGCCCTCAAACAGCGAGTCTGCAGCGGTGCTGACTTGAGACTGGTCTCTACCTGACCGGAGTCACGCTGTGTGTGTCCGTCAGGAAACACGCTGTTTACAAGTAGTTCCAGCAAACATCCACTGATAAATTGCGATGTTAACAACCTCATGATGACCTCATATGTTTTTAACTTAGGATCATACCTGTGTTTAGTCTAGAAAAAGGTAAATGTGTGCATTTTATTATAAAGTTGTGTATATTTACAGACCGTTGCAAAAACTAAGAAGCTTATAAACATCAGGTTTAAAACTAAAAGAGCTTTGAAACACAATGAAAGATGTTTGGAGTTTTATTTGAGTTATTCATTTAAACATTTTGTCTAAGAGATGCTGATTTGAAACCGTTGTTACATACAGTTACGGCATTTCCTGTTTCTGCCGGAGAGAGGGGAGGCCGTCCCAAAGCTTGCTGCTGTATTTACTCCCTCCATCTGACAGGAGGGAGCCTCGTTGAGCTGCGAGTGTGGCTGCAGACGGAGTTCACTCCATCACGGAGGGGTAGGGTCGAGGGAGTGGTTTGGGATTGGGCCTGTGGCCCATTCCCAAACCGCCCCGTACACCCTACACCCTACCCCTCCGTTTGCGCGTTCACGCGGAGGGTCCGCCATATTAAGGGCTGTTCCAAAGCAACGAGTGTGGAGCGGTGTGGAGGGGGAGTGGGCTATCAAGCCCTCAAACAGCGAGTCTGCAGCGGTGCTGACTTGAGACCGGTCTCTACCTGACCGGAGTCACGCTGTGTGTGTCCGTCAGGAAACACGCTGTTTACAAGTAGTTCCAGCAAACATCCACTGATAAATTGCGATGTTAACAACCTCATGATGACCTCATATGTTTTTAACTTAGGATCGTACCTGTGTTTAGTCTAGAAAAAGGTAAATGTGTGCATTTTATTATAAAGTTGTGTATATTTACAGACCGTTGCAAAAACTAAGAAGCTTATAAACATCAGGTTTAAAACTAAAAGAGCTTTGAAACACAATGAAAGATGTTTGGAGTTTTATTTGAGTTATTCATTTAAACGTTTTGTCTAAGAGATGCTGATTTGAAACCGTTGTTACACACAGTTACGGCATTTCCTGTTTCTGCCGGAGAGAGGGGAGGCCGTCCCAAAGCTTGCTGCTGTATTTACTCCCTCCATCTGACAGGAGGGAGCCTCGTTGAGCTGCGAGTGTGGCTGCAGACGGAGTTCACTCCGTCACGGAGGGGTAGGGTCGAGGGAGTGGTTTGGGATTGGGCCTGTGAGTTCAGCAGGAACCCTGGGTCGAGTTGGAATATGTCTTGTTCTTCATTAATATCAAATGTATGACACCAAATGGATTGCAACTGTTTAACTGGATGTGTAACATCATAGAGCTGTGGGTAGTCCATCCCTGAAGGCTACATGCGTTGCACTTGGTATTTTAGGCTGATTCAGGGTAAAGATATCCTCCTTTGAAACACAGGTAGTAGATGCATGTTGGTCAGTATGTCAGGGCAGGTCTCTGATGACACAGAACATGATACATCTCACATGGGTTCAGAGGGTGAGTGACTTCATCTCTAAACCTAGTCTACTCATTCTGATGAAGAACTCAAAAAGCTCTGCAATGTACTGCCAGAAGGAAAATGTGACTTTAAAGACAACATTATGCTGCTTTATATTCTCTGTGCATATCTCTTTTTGTATTAGTCATTCACTGGTAAGTAATTGTCCAACAAGACGTGTTTCCACAGAAACCTCACTAAGTTAGGGCACCATAAATGCCACCAATAACAATAATGAGTATGGTTTAATTACTTCTATAACAGCAATCATCTCAATATGGGTTTCATTTCCACCTGGTGGTAAATCCTGCTGCTGTAAACAAGTCACTGAAGCTGAAGGATTTCATATGCACTGATGTGTGGATTGAGGGAAAGTCGTGATAAACTCAACTATAGTTTAAACAGGAACTCTCCAGAGTGTTTTTGAACAGGTGTGTGTATGATGATAGAATCTCCTGCATGTTTCTTCACACTGCTGAACCTCCTTCACACCCTCACAAAATGGTGTTTTCAATGTAATTGCTTCTCCCACAACAGTTTGTTTCTGTGTAATTGTTAGTGTATGTATTTGAAATGTTGGCATACTAAGATTGAACATGTCTGTTCCTCTGGCGCCACCCTCAGGCCAAACGCTGATTGAATTTTCAGTTATTTATTTCCTTGTATTATCCAAGCTCTGTATTTTCTCCATTTCCATCTTTCCAATATTGTATCAATATTTGTATGTAGGCCCAGGCTAATTTGTATTCTAGCTTGAATTTAAGCCTATACTTTAAAAGCTAAATATTTACTCTATGCACATACAACTTATACCCGCACTACCTGTACATTTAAATATTTTACCTTGCTCACATATCTGGATATATGCACATTCACATGGTCAGAGTTAACTCATTTTTATATTTCTATTCTGTTAAAACATGTTCATTCCTATTTTATTCTATTTATATTTGTATTGTATTCTCATTATCCCTGTGTATATTCCATGTGTACTACCTGTGTTTCCGTAGTATTCTGTTGCAGCTATAACACCTGAATTTCCCTACGGGGATCAACAAAGGTCCATCTGATCTCATCTTTTTTTATAATTTAATTTTGACTGGATGAGTATGTGATAATTGCATTACATTCACACCCCCACCCACATGCCTCCCTTCAAACCTGAGGTGGAGGAAGTACTCAGATCTTGTATCAGTAAAAGTACCAGAGTATAGGAATACTCTGTTACAAGTAAAAGTCCTGCATTCAAAATGTCACTCAAGTAAAAGTTGAAAAGTATTAGCATCAAAATAATAAAGTAAAAGTAGTCATTGAGCAGATTGGCCCATTTCAGAATAATATACATGATGTGTTTTATAATTCTTGATGGTAAAGGTGCAGCTAGTTTTAATGACTTTGTAGTAGGCTACTGTTGAGGTAGGCCTACTTTACTTTAGTATTTCCAGGTTATGCTACTTTGTACTTCTACTACACTACAGTTCAGAGGTAAATGGTGTACTTTTACTCCACTACATTTATTTAATACCTTTAGTTACTGCAGATTTTGATTAATGATGTGAAATATAATCAACTCTTAAATCAGACTTAGTAAATTCACAAGCTACCCTGCAGTATACAAAGTTATTAACATTAGTAGTGACATTTTGAAGGCAGGACTTTTACTTGTAACAGAGAATTCCTACACTCTGGTACTTCTACTGAAGTACATGATCTGAGTACTTCTCCTCCTCCTCTGTAAGGGCTCTAAGGTTAAAGTGCCTCCTCTCACTTCCTCATTAGGTGGTGAAACAGCTCTACTTCCTCATTAGGTTGCTGTGTATCGGTGAGACAGTCATGAAGGACAGCGGCAGAGAGGACTCGGTTTCCCGCCACGAAGTGTTTGAGGACTACGTGAACTTCTTCTTCCAGCAGTGTCCGGAGGTGGGGCCGTGCCGGGACCCCCCGCTGCTGAGGAGGGTGGCCCGGTACCTGCAGACAGGAGAACCGGGAGAGACGTTCCCCCTGCTTCCGGTGCACCGGGCCGTGCTGCAGGGCTGTGCTGCCCCGAGTTCTGACTGCAGGAAACACCTGTCTGCCGTCAGCAAGGCCGCCGAGCTGCTGGAGACCCTCTGCGTCAACCTGTTCCTGCAGCCCTGGAAGAAAGAGATCAGGACTCTCAAGGTGGATTCAACACTCTAACTCTTTCATTATTTCTCTCTCTGTTTCTATCTGTTTCTTTCTCTTTCTTTCACTCTCTTTCTTTCGCTCTTTCTTTCTTTCTCTTTCTTTCCCTAGCTTTTGTTTCTACAGCCGCTCCCTTTCACGGAACTTTAATTACTCACGTGTTCTGCTCTGGGTTAAAGGTTCGCCTATTTTTCCGTTGTGGAACAATATCCCAACTAGGGGGCAGAACATATCCAGAACATTTCCAGTAAATTTCCGGAAAGTTTCCGGTAAATTTCCATGGGAAGTTAAGCTGGGGAATTTTGGAAATATTCCATATTTGAAATAAATAAATAAATGTAAATGTTCCGCACTCTTGCGTGAATATCTCCGCGAGTGAGCTTAAGTTTCACTTTCGATTGCATGATAGGCTATAGCCCAGCGCAACACCTTCGTCACACATGTTGCCACTTGTTTGTACCATTTTCAGGCGATTTGTAATCTGTTCTAGAAAAACGATGTGTTTTGGGATATTTGGGGAGTTAGGTGGTCCGCGAGTGTTTTTTTGTATTGGTTAAGTGGTCCTTGGTATGAAAAAGTTTGAGAAACACTGTACTAGATCCAGTGCTTGAATTGGGCCGGTACTCATCGGCACTTCTGATTTTTACCCATGTGGTACCGGCACTTCTTACTGAGTACCGGCAAGTTGCCGGTGCTCAATAAAATGCCGGTACTCAGCCGCCGGCGGTACGTCATGACGTATGACAACAAATATGCCCAGACGGCGGCCAGCAAATATGCCCAGCCGGTGGCATCTCATGACGCATCTCATGACGCATAGACGTGCCGCAGCGATAGATTAGAGCAGTGGTTCCCAAACGGTGTGCCGCGAGGCAAGTCCGGGTGTGCCGTGGGATTTTGTGACAACCATACGTTATTATTGCAATATAAATATTTTAAAATGTACTATATCAGTACTTTGTAGGTTTATATGTACGTAATCTGCGCGTCCACATTGAGATGTGGACGCGCAGTGCTGCATTTCATGCTAAGTCAGCGATAACTTTCGAGGGGTGGAGGTCAGTGGCGTTTTCTCCCGGAGGCCAAGGGAAGCCAGGCTTCCCCTGTTTTTTCGGATTGTAGTTATAATTTAAATAAATAAATAAAAACACTTTGTTTTGTTTCGATAATTCTCCTTTGCTGTGTGTTGCTGCCGGCCGTCTCTCCCCCATTCTCATTGAGTACTTTACAAAGAGTGAAACAGCGCCCCTCTAGATGTTATGGTGAAACAGTAGATTGCACTCTCTGTTGCGAGAGGAGGCCAGCCGAATCTGGCTTCCTTTGGTGAAAAAAAATGGAGGGATTGACCAATCAGATGAGGCCCACGTGATGCCCCTGCCAACCTGTGATTGGTCAGGGCCATGCCAAGGGAAGCCAGCCGCCTCTAGCTTCCCTTCAGGGGCGGCTGGCGGCTGGCGATTTGATTGGACACTGCCATCCAATCAAATCACATCAACATCAGTTTTAATACTGTAACTGTCATCACCGCCGTTAGAAATTATCAAGCAAATGAAGCATTATGGAGGGTGGAGATTTGGCGTACTTAATCAAACATAACTTTACTAAACTTCCGCTACAGCAGCAACTGAAAATTAAATCAGATGACAGGCCAATGCCCGCACTCGAGCTGTGTGTACACAGAGGAAAAAGGGAGAGAATCGGACGTTCAATGAGGACAATTATGTCCGCACAGAGTGGCTAACTGGAAGCGCTAAACTTCAGCGTCTATTTGGCTGGCCATGTCTTCTTTTTGACAAGGATTCGTGCTCCCTGAACAATCCTTGGGCAACTTCAGGATTCATCGACCTTGCCAACCTGTCACGGGCAATTGAGAGGCACGGTAAATCCAAAAATCACATAGATTGTGTGATTGTCTGCCTACATTAATAAGTAAAATGCTTAAATTAATAAGAAGAGAGTTTCAGCTGGAGAGTGCGTGCGGACCTGTCGGTTAGATAACAGGCGTGTGCAAGTCCTGCATCTGTGTGATACAAATGTGTGTAAAATGATACCGGGCGCTGTAATCATTCATCTGGTTACGTTATTGACCGCCCCCCGACCCAAAAAATGGGCTTCCCCTACATTTTTCCCCACGCCACGCTACTGGTGGAGGTATGCCCATTATTTTGAGTTCGTCCGAAGAATAGACAGGAATGTGACGGTGAGGTGCAAACTGTGTCCAGGCCAGAAGCTGTTATCCACTGCTGTAAACACCACGTGGTCAAACCTCAACAAGCACCTGCAAAGAACACATGCTATTTTGTTTATATCACGGAGTCTGTTCTTCTTCTCTGTCTTCCGGTTGTTGCCTGTTTTGAATGACAAATACACACTACCGCCGCCTGCTGGTAAGGAAAGTTATTGCCACTCACGCATGCGCAGTTCGTACGTGCTCGGTGAGTAAAGTAACGAGTTACTTTATGTAGATTGTAACGAAGTAGTGTAATATATTACTTTTTTTTTAAAAGTAATATGTAATATATAACGACCCCATCTCTGGAGTTGGCGTTCTCTACTCTGGTTTACATGAAGAACAACAGGAGGTCACTTCTCTCTGTTGAACAGGACAAGCGAGTGGCCCTCTCCTCAGTGCCACCAAGGATTAAAACATTCTGCGCACCCCGACAGGCACATGTATCTCACTAATTTGTAAGTCGGCAAAAATATTTACAATAGCACATGTTTCAATGCTGATTGCTGAAATGTTACATTTATAATTTGTAGTTCAGGACCATGGACAATGCAGCTTCCTTGCATTGACAGTTCTCTGTGCTGAATTTCTGCTGAGTTTCCTTAGCCTCATTTTTTATTTTGTGACCTGTCTGGTTTGAATGAGTGTGTTGCTGCTTTGATGAAGCCTAATTTGTAGGGCCGGGACTTTAACGCGTTAATTAAGATTAATTAATTACACAAAAATTAACGCGTTAAAAAAATTAACGCATTTTAATCGCACTTATTTTTGCACCGCGGAACGTTTCTCACTGGATGAGTTTCAGGCGTACCGATTATACTGGAGCACCAACTAACGTTCATGACTTCAGACAACAACAAACCACAGTGAACAACAGTGGGAAATGTTGTTTTAAAAAACGGACGGATGGAAGCGTCGATAAGAGCACGGTTGTGTGCAAATTATGCAAAAAGGAATTTGCAGCACATCAAGCCTCAAGTATCACCTCAATGCAAAACATATAGCAGCTAGCGTGGAAGCTAGCATGGACGTTAGCCTCTTTTATCGCGTTCACACCAAAAAGAGCTGGTACTAAAATTAGTTCATGAGAACCTTTTTACCCCCACGAAAGTCCCTGCGAGAGAGCAGAGAGCTGCTAGAGAGCAGGGACTTTCGTGCAGCTCTCTTGTGAGAAAATAGCTATATGTCTGATTGGCTGGGCGGATTGCAAACCACGTAAAACTCCCAAAAAGTTTGGTGAAGCCGCCATTTTATTATCCTCGCATTAGCATTATTAGCATTAGCCCAGCGCAGAAACGCAGAGAGACTTTACTTATGGCAACACAAAATAAAACATGGGAGCGGTGGAGATGAGGAGGTGTCGGCGTTCTGGCGATTTACTCGGAAGGCTTCTACTGAAGCCAGTCCCCAACTCCGGGGACTTCCGGCCGGGGACTTTGGGCGGCAGTATACGCCGTGAAGTGGTTTGCGGCCTGCCAGTAAACCCAAAGCAGAAGAAGAAGAAGTGACGTCAGCGGCTTCATTTGCCTAATCCACCCCCAGGTTCAAAGAGTTCTCATGAACCTTTGTGGGAAAAGTACTGCGGTGTGAATGCGCCTAATGGTACACTAAAATCCATGTGAAAAAAATTGCTTCTCACTGTTCTCAGGTCAAATATTTATATGTGATTAAAAATGCGATTAATTTCGATTAATTAATTACAAAGCCTCTAATTAATTAGATTAATTTTTTTAATCGAGTCCCGGCCCTACTAATTTGGTAACGTTTCAAATTAATTTCTGAAATATTTCGTTAATAAATATTTCATGAGTTATATAGTTGTCTTTGTCACATTTTATTTGGCATTAGTAAATAATTATGCACATTTACAGATATTTTACATGATATGAGTGATAACACGTGTTATAAGGGCTATTTTGCACAATAGGTGTGCCTTGAGATTTGTACTTGTCCTTTGGTGTGCCTTGGGCACAAAAAGTTTGGGAACCACTGGATTAGAGCATAAAAAGACATCACATAACGTTAGCATTTCGAAAATGTTAGCGTGGCTTAATAATAGTGCGAAAAGACAGCGGTGGACTGGCCATTTGTAGAATCTGGAGAATCACAGAACGGCCGGTCGTCAAGGGCCGTTGACGGCCGGCCGGCCCTTTTAAAAAAATAGTTTAACGTCATCATTTAAGTTGCGCTGACGGCCGACAGAGGGCGATAGCGGCCGCTAATGCAGTTGTGTGGTTCTTATCTGTCAAATAATCAAACACGAATAAGAAAAGAGACCGGCCACACGAAGAGAAGGGATTAGACCAAGCCCCCAGGAAGTGCGCCGGACTCAGATGAAAATATTCGTGCTGGCCAAACGGCGGTACTACACTTCCGTTTGGTTGCCAGGCCCGGAAACACTTTTTCCCATTGACTTACATGGGGAAAGAGTGGTCTGTAACTCGTTGGATAATTTTTTTTAAACTAAATAAACTACCCAGTATGAACACTTGTATAGCCCTTATTAAAAACATTCGTTCCTCAAGTTGTAAACATTTGCTAATAACGTTATTCTGAGAGTTATTTCCCTCTGCATTATGAACGCGCATCTAACCCACGGGACCGCGCCGCCCGGCACGTTCATGTTACGTGTCCCGACCAATCAGAGCACACTGTGCTCACAGGGAGGGTGGGGGCTGGAGCTATTGGAGCTACAACGAGCCGTTAAAGGCAGAGTGAAATTCAGTGAATACACGTAGTTTACAGAGATGCTGTTTGAGAAACCAAT